TATACCTAAATCTGTTAACCCTTAAATGGCACATGGCTATATACCATTTGACACCCACAGGCGCATACCAAAAAAAAAAAAAAAAAAAATTTTTTCTTCCTAACCTGTTAACTTGTGTTCACTGATCATGGGAAAAATAATAAAAAAATTGTAAGTGGCATATATTGCCCGCTATAGGGTGGGAAAGTCTGGCAAAAAACAGGCGCTGACTCAGCGTGCGTCCCTGGCGCATCAGTTTCAAGGAGATACTCATCAATGCTGTCCAAAATATTAGGAGAGCCAAAATAAAAATACCCAACCATAACTTTCCTATAAAATCTCTGTGGCTAGATCCTAGAAACAGAGTAAATTTGTTACACAAAATTTTCCAGATCCAAAACCATACTGTCTGTTATTATATAGTTTTTCTCCAGGGGTTCTACCCATTTAGTTTTAATTATTTTTTCCAATATTGTGACTATTACACTTGTCAATGATATACGTTTATATTTAATGGGATCTTCCCTGCTGCCACTGTTGTAGAGTGCTGCTGCCTCTAATATCAACTGGGAGTCTGAAATAGGTAGCATAGTGGGACAGGTCTATATATGATGGTTTGTTGAAGTGGAATGCTGAGCTCAGGTGCACATTCTCTCAGGACCCATGGTAAAACTCCACCTGGGCCAAATGCTTTGTTCTTACTTAGCTCCTTTAGCATTTTTTTCATTTCATATCTAAGACACCTCTATGAAATGTGGGAAATCGATAAAGAATTTGGATAAAGAAAGAGAGCTAGGAGTGGTTCTAAATAGAAAACTATCACCTGAGGACCACATAAGAATATTGTGTGAGGAGCCTATGCTATACTTTCTAACTTAAAATTTTTTTTTAAACACTTGGATGGCAAGATACTAAAGATATTGTTCACAACTTTTGTTAGACCAAAGCTGGAATGGTGTGGGGGTTTTCTTTTTAGCTTTCACGACTGCAATGCGTATGTCGCCAATGTACATGTGGCAGACGTTCCACGAAACTGTCGGAATTAGCAGAATAGAAAATACGAGAGCAACCGTACAGGGCCTGGGAGCAAGGTCGAGTTAGAGTCCTTGAGGGTCTCTTCTCAGACTAGTCTCACCTGGTCCTGCTCCACGTCGATCGTTGGAATCTCCTCAATGATGTAACACTTTAAGGGACTCCTAGGGTCCTCATCACATTTATAGTTTAGTGAATTAGGCAATTCGGTGTTGAAGACACCTAGAGCTGAAAGCTTGAGTAATATTGGCAGTATTCAGAAGTGGTTCAACGCAAAAACCACTTAAAGCTTAACAGTAGTTTACTAACTTAACCACTATACACAGGGTGTTTGATTTACTTTAGATTGGCGTCAGCAAAGCTATGGTTATGTTAGCGAGACTCTTGACGTCTGGCTAACGACCTGTATCCACTCGTGGAGAAACATCTAACTTAACACAGTTGACAGCCAATCATTAATACAGCAACCTAACTGCCAGTATGCAAAGGAATCACAAAGAGTTCCAACCGGATACTCGGTAATGATGATATGCAATAAATCACAATGGGACAGGCAATAACATGCACAATAATAATCACACACGATAACTAAATGTGTGGTGTATGTGAAGGTCACATTCAAAGACGGGTGAAATGCCGTGATACCACACAGATAACCACGCATACACCGTCGATTCACTGTGACAGGTATGAGAAGGTGAAAACTGTGGTTGATACCTCAGATCAACACAGACACAATAAACAATGACAAGATCTTGTACTTACAGATAAGGTACCTCTCTTTACTCACTCACTCACTCAGGCACATTTGTGCAAGAACTCGTAGGTGGCCTGACAGCTGGTTTCGCTCGTAGACACGGAGGGTACTCGCAATAGGGCGTACAGAAACACGCATACACTCTTGGCACTGGCGGTGAGTAAGGGTGGTGATGTCACGTGGTACAGTGAGGGCGGCGGCGGCTGGCGGCTGCAGGTTATATGGCACCATGCACTACACTGTACACTGTGGTACAGGTACACTGTGGTAAAGTCACACACAGATTACTTAGGCGGCAGCACTGCCTTAGTTCACTCCAAGTCACTCACAACGATCTTTGTCACCAGGGGTTACCTGATACCAGTCTGTTTCACTCTGGAGATTTGTCACTTTAGGCTTCTGAACAATATATTCACACTCGTGATTCTGGGCGAGTGTGTGGTATATCGCAGAGGCGCTGAGTTAACTTGACGGTGAAGAATAGACGGTGTTCAGTCTATTGGCTGATAGACAGAACAGCTACACGTCCACTTTGCAAGAGATCCCTCACGAGAATGCTTTTTCCTGAAGCTCAGGGCGTCCAGTGGGCACAACACAAAAAGAGTTACAATTTGACCAATAGCATTGCAGCAAATGAGCGGGAACCAATCATATTGACCGTTCGATGATCAGTAGCAGGAGCTGTTATTCTTCATCGCGCCAGTTGACCCCAGAGGTCAGACGGTCGTTGGCGTCTCCCCTCTACTCTCACGCTGGCCCCAGCCAATGTACTCACTGACCCTGTGGCAAGTATGCTTAACTCCCTGTATCTACTTCCTGCCTGGACATACGGCGGTCTCCATATTATGAAAGTGTTCCTGGTTAAGTGGGCATTCTGGAGATACCCAGCATGCCAGGTCACTATCCAGGGTTAACAGAAATAGGACCTTGTGCACAAAGTCTGTGCACTGTGCACTGCAATGAGCCATTCCAGTCAGCTGTGGGAGAATCTTGGGAGACATACTCCCACAAATGGAATATGCAGTGGTTGTATGGTGCCCATATCTTAAGAAGCACAGCAACAAACTGGAAAAGGTGCAAAGACATGCAACTAAATGGCTCCCAGAACTGAAGGACAAGAGCTACGAGGAGTGGTTAGAGACATTAACCCCTTAACTGCGCGGCCTCCAAATATGACCCCCCCAATGCACAAGAAATAAATTCTCAGGAAAGAATTCTTTTTTTTTTGTTCTAAAAGTGTCAAAAACCCCTCCCTGTATTTGGGTATAGCAATGGAATGTCAAAATTGTACTTACTTTGGCTGTTATGGGGTCCGTAAGGTGGCACGTGACGTCATCATTTCCCGTGCGCCCATGCCGTAAGCTCCCGGGACCGGTGGGGCGCCCGGGGCGGGATGCGCGCGCTGCCGCGAATATATTTTTGCAAATTTTTTGCGCACAGTTCCAAATACAATTTATTAGATTTTACGTGCTGATCCAATGTATGGTGAACACATACACTATATTATGGCAGTAGAACATCCGTACCGTCTGTAGACACTGTGCTACATGCATCACAAACAAGTACACTTATTTCCAATTTATCACTCTGATATATTTATATTTACATTATATATACACACACACTGTACAGTATCACACACTATATACACACACCAACCCGTTCTTGCAAATTCGTATAGTCAATATTGAATTATTAACTACGTGCATAGGTGATATACTAAACATAATAGATACCCTTAAAAAGCTTCATAGAAAACACCGACCTTACCTAACCTTGTTAGTATCTTAAGATAAGCATCTTATTGCTTCGTAATTACAATTATTACTTAACCTATACCTATAATAGGTTAAGTACCAATTGTAATTACGAAGCTATAAAATGCTTATCTTAAGATACTAACAAGGTTAGGTAAGGTCGGTGTTTTCAATGAAGCTTTTTAAGGGTATCTATTATGTTTAGTATATCACCTATGCACGTAGTTAATAAGTCAATATTGACTATACGAATTTGCGAGAACGGGTTGCACACACACAGTACTCTGCGAGTGTGTGATATGCTGCGAAACAGCCAACGGGGCAGAGTGGCACCGTGCACTCCATGCACCAGATGCTGATGCATCTTCGCTTTTGTGATCTGTGTGTAGTGTTCCTGCATACTATGCACACATGTTTACCCTTCTCCTGTGATGCTGTGCCTGGCATATACTTCAGCATGTGTACCTCGAAGTTCTCATTACCCCGCAATCTGTCTGGAGCTGCGTATGGCATTGTTGCTTGCACCTTGCGCGGTACTACGGACTCCTGCCTGCCATACTTTACTAGCAGCTGTGACACAACACTGGCACTGAAGGTACATGTAGACAGTGAAGAGCAGAGATGCCATAGGCACAATCAGAGAACACTGTATAAACATCAGAGGTCCGCAGCTGTTCAACGTCCTCCCAGCGACTATAATAAATATTGCCGGAACAACCGTGGACATCTTCAAGAGAAAACTGGACTGTTTTCTAAGAGAAGTTCCGGATCAGCTGGGCTGTGGTGGGTATGTGGGCCTGCGGCCCACTCCAAGGAACAGCCTAGTGGACCAAACTTTCACAAGTCAAGCCTGGCCTCGGGCCAGGCTTGGGGAGTAAAAGAACTCCTAGAACCCCATCAAGCAGGTATCAAGCAGACGGTTTCCTGCCGGACTTCACTAAGTACATATTGAAGCAGTTGAGCACTGCAACATCCTTGAGGTGGAAGAAGAACTTTTTCGTCCACTTCACAGACCTGTGCACGCACTCCACACCACCAAGCATCATGTCACATTTATCGACGAGGCGCATGTTCACGTTATAGTCTATGACACAGTTCGGCTTATACATGGGGTTGCGCATATAAATATGGACCTTCCCATTGTTCAACATGGCACTGGTGTGAATCGTCGTCAGCATATTCACCTCGTGTCTGTCCTCCCACCGCACTGACAGCATATTATCACACTTGCGCAGCTGGTACTCGCCCATGGATATACCTATACCGAACACTGGCATTTCCTTCCTGAGGACCTTCACAGTGCTACATATGCTGGTGTTGTGGGCAAGGAGGTATCTGGTCAACAGGGGGCTGGTGTAATAGTTGTCAGTGAACAGTATATGCCCCCTGTTCAGCACTGGTTCCATCAGGGTTTTTACGACACTGCCAGAGAACCCATGTTCATCTTGAGCTGGTATGTCGACGTCTGTACCAGACTACAAGATCATGTCCAGGACGATACCAGTCTCACAGTCGCACAGCATGAAAAACTTTAGTCCAAAACGGTGCCGCTTGGAAGGGATGTACTGCTTGAAAGCCAGTCTGCCCTTGAACAGTACAAGTAACTCGTCGATAACGACATTCTGTCCAGGTACAAAATAATCCCTGAAGTTCCCTCGCAGGTCGCTGAATACCTTGCGTACCTTCCACAGTCTGTCGCATCTGTCCTCATTTGCATTGTTCTCGAAATGCAGGCTCCTGAGAATCAAGTGGAACTTATCCCGCGACACATACCGGTTGAAGACGGGTGATGGAACAAGGCTGTCTTTGTTCCAATAGTCCTGGACGACAGCTTTCTCGGAGTGTTTCATCATCATGCATAGAGCCAGAAACACGTACATCTCGTCGATTGTCGTTGCCTTCCATCGCGTGAGGCGTAAGGCCGGTAATATGCCACTGTCTATGAGGGTGTGGGCGTACATGTTTGTCTCGGTCACAAGATGCCTCATGAAGACATTGTCAAAATATGCCTGGAAATATTCCATATCCGCCATATCATCACCGTTATTCGGGAATAAAGCTGTAACAACAACATCGGTATCATCAAACGTTGGTATTTGAGGGACAGATGTGGTGCAATCCTCCCACACAAGTACACCAGGGAGTTTGATGTCGGCGCCAACACCACCACGAGCACCAAAACCACGGTTACGTCATCTGCTGCTGCTGCTGGAGCTGCGTGAGGGTATGCTTGGCGCCGAGGCAGATTTTCGTACCGTAGGCCTACCACAATCACCTGATGTTGAGGGCCCACTGTCGTCATGCTGTGAGACATGCTGTCACCTGCCTCGACGTGTTGCTGAGGCAGCAAAGCCCCGCCTGGTACCACCCTCGCTGCTAGTACTCGGGTCGTCCACACTACTCGTATCGGAGCCAATGTCACTGAAGCCCGAGAAAGATTTGTCACATGTATTGTCACTGAATAAACTAGCATCTGGGGACATACATGATGGTGGTGGTGATAACGGTGTTGACCCAGGGCGGCGAGACAGGCCGGGTGAGGAGCGTATACCATATGCACTCGCCACATCATCCACTTGCGTCTTTCCCTCACTCGTATCAGACCTCTGTGTCAGATCTTTCTCTGGATCATAGTCCAGGTCATCATCCATAGCATCGTCGTTGTACAAAATATCGCGAATCTCCTCCTCAGAGAGTCATTTTCCATGACCGCGGGTCACTGTGGAGCAGGAGCTCGTTGACGATGCATCAGACATGGTTGCTGCTTGGGAACTGGGGCTCTCCATGGCTACGGGGCATGCTGGGATTTTTTTTTTCAAGATGGCGGACTATCACTGGGGCCCCCAGCCAACCATTCCATACCTGCGTCACCGCACGTCACTTTTAAATCGAACGTGAAAAATACAAATACCCGGAGGCGCGTAGTGCACCCCAAGCGTGGGCCAGCAGGTGCGTTGCACAGTTAAAGGGTTAAATATTCCAAAACTAAAAGATAGAAGAAAAAGAGGCAATATGATCACTACGTACAAAATAGTAACGGGAATTGATAAAATTTATAGGCTAAAATTCCTGAGACCTGGAACTTCAAGAACAAGAGGTCATAGATTTAAACTAAACAAAGGTGCCAAAGAAAATTTAATTTTTTAGAAGTGAATAAGAAAATTCACTTTCGCAAACAAGTGGGGTTGATGGTTGGAACAAGTTAGGTGAGAAGGTGATGGAGGACAAAAGCGTCAGTAATTTCAAATTGTTATATGAGAGAGTGCTTGGAAGACGGGACATCATGAGCATAGCTCTCATCCTGTAACTACACTTAGGTAATTATATAGTTTATAGGTTGTGTGGGGTCTATGTTCTCCTATTCCACATTCCATAACATGGCATTTGTTCACATTAAATTCCATTTGCCAAGTGGTGCTCATACACTTATTTTGTTCAGGTCTTCTTGAAGGGCAGGACAAACATGAATTTATGATTTCTGCCAGTACAATAGTCAGTTCTGCACATGTAAAGCACAGTGACTTAGAAAGGAAAATTATTATTATTAATAATTATATATCCTCCCCAAAGCAATGGAATAGTATAGGAAACACTTATTTAAGACATTCTTAACCCTTAAACTGCGCAACGCGCCTGCAGGCTTGCGTCTGGTTTGCGCAACGCGCCTCCAGGTATTTTGATTTTTCACGTTCCATTCAAAACTGGCGCGCGGTGACGCGGGTATGGTATGGGTGGGTGGGGGCCCCAGTGATCGTCCGCCATCTTAAAAAAAAATCCCAGCATGCCCTGCGGCCGTGGGGAGCCTCAGTTTCACAGCAGCAACCATGTCTGACGCATCCTCTACGAGCTCCCGCTCCACGGTGACCCGCGGTCATGGAAAACGACTCTCTGAGGAGGAAATACGCGATATTTTGTATGATGACGGTGCTCTGGATGATGACCTGGACTATGATCCAGAGAAAGACCTAACTCAGAGATCTGATACGAGTGAGGAAGAGACAGAATTGGAAGATGTGGCGAGTGTGTGTGGTACTCGTGCCTCGCCCGGCCTGCCTCGCCGCCCTGGGTCAACACCGTTATCATCACCACCATCATGTATGTCCCCAGACGCTAGTAGTTTATTCAGTGATAGTACATGTGACGAATCTTTCTCGGGCTTCAGTGACATTGGCTCCGATACGAGTAGTGTGGACGACCCGAGTACGAGCAGTGGTGGTGTTACCAGGCGGGGTTTTGCTACCTCAGCAACACGCCGCGGCAGGCGGCAGCGTGCCTCACAGCATGTGGACAACGACAGTGGCCCCTCAACATCATTTATTCGTGGTAGGTCTACAGTACGTAAATCTGCCTCAGCGCCTAGCATACCCTCACGCAGCTCCAGCAGAAGCAGCGGACGACGTAGCCGTAGTTTTGGTGCTCGTGGTGGTGTTGGCCGTGGTGTTGGCGCCAACACCAAACCCCCTGGTGTACTTGTGTGGGAGGATTGCACCACATTTGTCCCTCAAATACCAACATTTGATGATAGCGATTTTGGTGTTACACCATTATTCCCATATACTGGTGATGATATGGCAGACATGGAATATTTTCAGGCATATTTTGACAATGTATTCATGACGCATCTTGTGACTGAGACAAACAGGTTCGCTCACAGCCTCATAGACGAAGGCATTTTACCTGCCTCACGGCTCACACGATGGAAGGACACGACAATCGACGAAATGTACGTGTTTCTGGCACTCTGTATGATGATGAAGCACTCTGAGAAAGCTGTCATCCAGGATTATTGGAGCAAAGACAGCCTTGTTCCATCGCCTGTGTTCAACCGGTACATGTCGCGTGATAGGTTTCTCTTGATTCTCAGGTGCCTGCATTTCGAGAATAATGCAAATGAGGACAGACACGACAGACTGTGGAAAGTACGGAAGATGTTCAGTGACATGAGAGGGAAGTTCAGGGATTATTTTGTACCTGGACAGAATGTGGTTATTGACGAGTCGCTTGTACTGTTCAAGGGGCGACTGGCATTCAAGCAGTACATTCCATCAAAGCGGCACCGATTTGGACTGAAGTTTTTTGTGCTATGCGACTGTGAGACTGGTATTGTCTTGGACATGATATTATATTCTGGTACAGACGTCGACATACCGGCTCAAGATGAACACGGGTTCTCTGGCAGTGTTGTAAAAACCCTGATGGAACCGTTGCTGAACAAGGGGCATGTACTGTACACCGACAACTATTACACCAGCCCCTTATTGACCAGATACCTCCTTGCCCACAACACCGGCGTATGTGGCACTGTGAAGAGCCACAGGAAGGAAATGCCAGTGTTCGGTATAGCTATAGCCGTGGGTGAGTGCCAGCTGCGCAAGTGTGACAATACGCTGTCAGTGCGGTGGAAGGACAGACGCGAGGTGAATATGCTGACTACGATTCACACCGGTGCCATGTTGGACAGTGGGAAAGTCCACTTTCAGACACGCAACACCGTGTATAAGCCAGACTGTGTCATAGACTATAACGTGAACATGCGCCTCGTCGATAAGTGTGACATGATGCTTGGTGGAGTGGAGTGCGTGCGCAAGTCTGTGAAGTGGACTAAAAAGTTCTTCTTCCACCTCATGGATGTTGCAGTGCTCAACTGCTTCAATATGTACTTAGTAAAATCTGGCAGGAGACCGTCTATACGTACATTCAGTGCTGGTGTTGTGTCACAGCTGCTAGTAAAGTATGGCAAGGAGGGTTCTGTTGTACCGCGCGGAGTGCAAGCAACAATGCCACATGCAGCTCCAGACAGATTGAGGGGTAATGAGAACTTCGGAGTACATATGCTCGAGTATATGCCAGGCACAGCATCACGGGAGAAGGGTAAACGTGCGTGTATAGTATGCAGGAACACTACCCGCAGAGAACAGAAACGAAGATGTATCAGCACCTGGTGCGTGGAGTGCAAGGTGCCACTCTGCCCCGTTGGCTGTTTCGCAGCATATCACACACTCGCGGAGTACTGAGTGTGTTTATGGTGTGTGTATATAGTGTGTGATACTGTACAGTGTGTATATAAAGTGTAAATATAAATATATTAGGCATGATACATTGGAAATTGTGCAGGATAAGTGAACTTGTTTGCGATGCACGTAACACAGTGTCTACGGACAGTACGGATGTTGTACTGCGATATTATAGTGTACGTGTTCATTATACATTGGATTGGCACATAAAAACAATGAAAATGTATTTGGAAATGTGCGCAATAAATGAACGAAAATATATTCGCGGCAACTCGCGCGCCCCGCCCCGAGCGCCCCACCGCCCCCGAGAGCTTACGCCACGGGCGCACGGGGAATGATGACGTCACGCCCCAACTTCCGGACCCCATAGCAGCCAAAGTAAGTACAATTTCGATTTTTTTTTTACATACCCATACTCAGGGAAGGGTTTTTGACACTTTAAAAAGAAAAAAGAATTTTTTCCAGAGAATTTATTTCCTGCGCACTGCGGGGGTGTCACATTTGGAGGCAACGCAGTTAAGGGGTTAAGGAGTACTGTAATACGTGGTTTAAACTCCATCAACCTTGGTCCCCGTTAGTAAAGTGATTAAGTGTAGAGACCTTATATTGTAAAAATCCATGCTACATTTGTATATTACCAAGAGAGTCTACAGTAAAATAATGACTAAGCCCAGATTTGTGTGGGACCAATAGTCAGTTCATCCATTATGTTTATGTTTGGTGAAGAGTATCACTCAATCTCAACAATCCATTAACATAATCATGTTTTCCCATAGTTAATAAGTGTAGAATAATCCGGAGTTGGTCAATAAAACCCATGTGTAAAGATTTAACCCACTGTGCACTTATTGTCCAACTTAGACTAAGAATACTTGACCCTTCCACAATTATCACATACGATATATACGTTTGTTTCCTTCCATTATTAGTAAGAAAGTAAGGACGGGTTTTGTTAGTCATACTCTTGGGTATGACTTACAAGCAACCCTGCTGCTGCAAATGTTACCAAAAAATATTATCAAATATTATTACCAAAAAAAATTATATAACAAAAAATATTATAATATAAACATATCCCATACTCTGGGATATGTTTATAAAAAATATTGACCTTGCTGTGGATATGTTAATCTGTCAGTAATATTAACTAACTCTAATATTAACTCTAGAATAGCTAATACAAAGAATGTATGTAAATATTACATAATTTGTATTAGTAAATAAAGTACTGTAATATTACTTTTTGTTGTAAATACATCTAGCTTAACTAAATATTCTTTCCACAGGATAACAAGCCAGAGGAATGTTCAGTGTGTTATAACGATTATGATGACAATCAGCTACGGCCTCGCACATTGCCGTGCGGCCACACATTCTGCTCCCGGTGTATTGACAATGCTATCAAGAATGGTCAGCTGACTTGCCCCAGCTGCCGTGGCCAGCACGCTGGCACAGCTGCTACTCAGTTCCCAATTAGCTATGGCATGGAGGCTTTAGTTAGGAAACTCAAAAATATCCAGCAAACACAAGAGAAAACTGTACCCGCAAAAAAGAAGTTTCGTTCCATGTTGCAGGAGCAGAAGAGCAGCATTAGCAGCCTCATTAAAAACTGTGAAGAGGTACTGTCCCAGCTGGGG